TGTCCCCTGCGCCCGAAGCCTCCGAAGTTTATTACCGCGTCAGCTGAGGAGCAGAGGGGCGTTGAAACGTTTTCCCCCGCGGTCCTGCCCGCCACCGTTCCGGCTCCCGTGAAGAGGCTTGCAGTGTCCAGCGCCAGATTCGTTCTAAAATGCTTGTCAGTGCTGCCGAACCTGATCTCCGTACCTTGTGAAACTGTTGGTGCCAGTACTATGCTGTCATGTACCTGTAGGGGTGACCTAACAGGTTACGGGCAGCTCGTTGTTTATGTTGCTTAAATGAAAGGCAGGTGTACCATAACGGATCTAACTAGATAAGATCGTAGTTTCTTCAAAGTGCTTCAGCCTCTCTAAGGTGAGGGTCAGCATTTAGTTCCTCCCCTGGTGCTTTCACACTGTGCAGAGACAGCACTGTTAGCCCCACCGGCTGGTAGTGCTTGAGTATCAGTCGGCTCCATAGGAGACATGCTTTTGGACTTACCTCCTCCCAGGTGTGTAAGGTAATGAGGCCACTGCCAAGCCAAAGATGGCAGCCACCTGCTGACTGCTGGTTCTTGTCTTGTGGCTGGACCGACAGAGGAGTGTGTTGAACAACTATATGTATCACACCTGTTTGTAAAATTCTCCTAAGGGTGGAGGTTCTGCAGTATGCCTGGGTTTTTCAGGCATGTAACTAGCTCTGTGTTAAGAAATCTTTTCCACCTGCCACACATGGAAGGTATTCTGTTTCCTTGTATTTGTTTATAAATTACCAATTGTATTGGTTTGATGAGGTGGGCAAGGCTGTTCAATCCCAACAACTTTGTGGTATTTTCTTCGGTTTTATTGGAAATATTTGGCTTTGCTTGTTGCCAAATAAAGAAAAATCACCAACTTTGAGCATGTGAAGTATATGTATATAGTCATTCTGGCAACCTATTAATTGCAGATGGTGTGGTTGGTTTGGAACAGAATGCCTAGCATTTGTTGAGGGGACAGATGGCAGACAAGCCATCTAGTTATGTCAACTGTATAGTGAAATTATAACAAAAGAAGTGTTCAACTGCAGTGTAAAAATTTCTGAACAAAAGCTTCCTCTAAGTACTTCTTGAAAATTGCCTTAAACATAGAAGAAAAAATGTGATTTGGGTATCTGTTTTCCAGGTGTGTTTCCCTTTCCTGAAGTGTCCTTGTTTGGTATTCTTTAATAATTAAGACTTCTTACCGACTGGTTGTTTTTAATCTTGTTCAGGACTTTTTAGGGTATCATAGTCCAGCTACCATCTTTGTGTACAATGTTTTTGACAATAATTTACCTAGCTCTTTCTTAAGAGGCTAAAGTTCAACACAACCTTTTAATAAGTAAGTGGTTGGAAGTAAAACAGAACCAAGGGCTGATAAAACTGAGGCAAAGTTTCTTGCATTTTTAAGATGAAAAGCAGTTATCTGTATTTTGTTGTTTTACTCAGTCTTTATGTTTCACTCCTTCTGTTAAACTGGTAGCTACGGAAAACATTTACTACCACTGTTATAGCTTGGCAGGCTGTTTCCTTTTAAAATTTAAGAGTCACCATTGAAAGCTTAATTTCCTTTTTTTCTTACTATCCTTTCTGCAAAATCACTCTTCCACACTCTGTCCCCCAACAGTAATTTGTTCAGTCTGCTTTCACATAATGTGGCAGTTATACCTGTAACCTGCTCTAACCTAGTCTTGATATGTGATGTGCAAATCGGAAGCTCAAGGTTAGGGATCTAAATTATCCATGTAATCAGTGGAGCGTAGTAGCAAACAGTGCATAAATACCCTACTTTATTGGCAAGAGATCTCTGTATGCCTTGGCTTTTTTTTAATAAATTCTTTGTCTTTTCTACCCATGTGAAATTATGCTTCAGGTGTCTACTACTTTTATTAGTATTTTAGTGAAGAAACAGGACCCTGTGTTTGGGTAAATTTTGTCTTCATCACTTCTCCCAAAAAGTTGTGGGGTTTTTTGTTTTGTTTTGAGTTTGGCAGGTTTTTTTGTCCCAAGTATGCCAGTAGCATGCTGTGAAAAGAATTTCTGTGAAAGTAGGTAGATCACTTTTTTCAAGTAACTAAACAAGTGATAGTATCATCAGCTTAACTGATTGAGAAGCATCTCTGTTTTGTACCTGTCTTTTGCTAGTTTTAGCTGATCGTTCCAAAACGTTTATCTGGAAGAGGTGGGTAAACAACACTGCACGCTCATGTTCTCAGTTCCACATGTGATTTTATGTTCCTCTGTCATGCCTCCCTCACCAATCTTCTGCAAACTCTTTAAGTTTACTCAGTTGCTTCTCATATGTTTTATTTTGCTCTGTTCTCTATTCCTTTCTTATCTCTGCTTTTCTGCCATTACTGAATGTTGAGGTGACTTTGTAGCACTTGCTGGAGCTAGCGTTGTTTATATGAAGTTGGTGGTGCTTTTCCCATATGCACTATCCTGCACTTTTCTGCATTGAAGTTCATCTGCTTTCTTGAACAGTCACTGCGTAATGAAGTCTCTCCCCAGTTCTTCACAACCAGGCCTTATTCTCATACTGCCAAATGGCTTAGTTTAGCAAATTTCACTTCGTCACTATTCAGTTGCTGTTACAGATTGTTTTGAATTTGTTGAACAGTATAGGTCCCAGTACAGTTTCAGGTGGGATCTGTGTGTCTTGTCCATTTCTTTTTTTCTTACCAGTTTTTTATGCATGCGAGGAACTTGCTTTCAATATTTCAAGACAGCTTGGTTTCCTTGAGAACCTTTGGTGAGTAACTGTCAGATACCTCTTGGAGACAGTGTCAGGTGGGTTTCCCTTGTCCATGTAAAAGCTGTTGATTACTTTTTCTGAAGAATCAGTAAGTGCAGTAGTTATTGTCTTTGTTACAGTTTCCATTAAATTCCCTGTACAGATGCCACTTTTGCAGTCAGCAGTTACCAGGTTGCTCAGGAAACCCTTTAAAACGTAGGTGTGAACTGGCTGTCTTCCTGCTCCTCTGGTGCAAAGGCAGTTTTAAGCAAGAGATAACTCCCCAGGGGTTAGCTGGGGTTTTTTTAGTTTGGAGTTCTTCTGTGGATGCCACCTAATCTGAGTGGTTTGTTATTGTTCATGTCTTATTTGTTGAGTCATCTACTGGTATTTTGATTTGAGGCAGATCTGATGCACTGTCTGTAAGGAAGAATTCTGACCTTAGATCTTCACAATAAACATGGATACAAAAATTTACATTGTTTTTCTGCTCTGCCTTTATCTTGGGGTGCATCTTGCATGTCTGGAACATGTTAGCCTTAGTGAGTGTCTGGCAGGCTACATGCTCCTAATTCCTCTAAAAGGGGCTTTATTAGTTTTCAGATTTATGCTGTTTCCAGTTGTTCTTCACTTTTTTTAGCTTGACTTCTTGGACTTTTGTGTCTAGCCTTCCAGAGTATAAAATCTTCCCTGTTTTCTTTATTTGGATGTTTTAGCTTTTTGAAGGATGCTGTCCCACTCTTACTAGCATCCTTATGGCTGCTGTTTATGTTGTTTAGTCAGTCTGGGTTCTGTTTGGTCTTTCTGTTCTTAGTAAATGCTGTGCATATGGTCTGAGCCTCTGGGATAGTGTATTTGAATAGTTTCCATGCTGCCTTCAAGGATTTTTGCACTTTTTAAAAGCATTGTAATTACATATAATTCACCTTGCTTTGAAATTAAATACAACCGCAGTTCATTACTTATTTTTTCTTGCTTTCACATGAGTATTGGATCTTGGCACATTACAATTGCTGTTCTAGAGCTCTTCAACAGTAATATTTTTGAGCACTGATGAGAACTGCTTCCCAGCTAGCATATTCCTTTCCCAGTACTGTCTCCAACTCTCATATGAATTAGGCAAAGTTTTATGTGGGTTTTGAGCAACTTTCTGTGACTTCACCTTGTCGTTATGCAAGCCACCCCCCTTCACACCTACAGTCTTGGGCTGTAAAGTTTCTGTAATGAGTTTACATGTTAAATTTAGGGGTGGGGATAAAGGCATGACTGGAGTTTAGCATTCTGTAGCCCTCCATGCAAATAAACTGTATCTGAGGGGGCATTTCCTACCTTGGTAGTTCTCTGAGAAGTTTGAAAGTGTATCTTTTTAAAATAGTAGCACTGCCTAATTTATTTGAGAAACCATATTCTGTCAGTTAGTGTTTTTACTGATGTTATCTCTGTAGTTTAGGCTCACTGGTACATATTTCTACAATAATTACTCTTCTAAAGGGTTTTATTTTTCTCTGTGAAAAATGTATTTTGATACCTGTTTTGAACATATTTTTTTTTCCCTGATGCATAAGATTGCACCTTCCATATTAGGTTGCCTTAGTCATTCAGCAGAATCCTCAATAGTCATATCTTTGGTAGTCTCTCAGGTACACATGGAAAATATACCTGAAAGGAACGCGTGTTTCATTAGATTGAAATCCTTTGTATTTGGACATACACACAGTAACAATGGTGGTTTTGAAGCCATAATTATTGATAATGTTTTAATATTAAACAAGGAATTGTTAAGGATTTAGTGCAAGTCCTTTATTGTTTTTCAAGCTGTTCCGGGACTGAGAGGAATGAAAACAAATTCCTTTAAAGGTAAACTGCAAAACAATTGCAAGGAAAAAGTTTTTGCCTTTTGTATTGTTTACAATGTATAAATACTGCCTTAGCTTAAAAGATTCCATTTTCCTTCATGCCTGTAGCTGCTTTAGAAAATCAAGGTTGTGCTTCTTGTCCAGTTTTACCTAGAAAAAGAGTCACAGGGACACTTCGTACACAGAGACAGCTCAGGACAGGGATCCACGTACCTATTTCTGCTATTCTTTGATCTTTCAGAGAAGTGAAATTAATTTTCCTGGCAAACCCAACAGGAGAATGAGGGCATTTTTCACATTTATTACTGCCCATGGTATACTGAGCAAGCACTAGGTGTGTGTCCACGTCAATTCTCCTCTGATACAATAGTGTCTATAGAGAGACGATGGACAGGAGTAACTTTTCATAACATTTTTTTCCATGAAATGCCATAGAGTGTAGAGGAAGAAGAAAACCACTGTACTGTTGAAACCAACCAATGTACTTTTAAAAAAATCTCACTAGGGAAATACTGGAAATCCCACCAGTACCACAGGGCTGTCGTAGGCCAACTTGCAGTTTGTATGAGCAATCTCTATATCTGTGTGTTTGTGATCATTGGAGAGGGGGGAAGAAAAGGGAGGAGAAATGAGGAAAAGCGAAAGGGGAAGAAAAAGGCACGGCAAGATACTTGCTATTATCCTCTAGAAATGGTGAGGTTTGGCTTAAATCCCACCTAGGTCCTTGAAGTGTCTTTTTGTGTGTGATCACAATACATAGCTGAGGTTTTCTCTTGTGAATTGCTGCTGACTACTTTGGCCCTTCACAGAATTAATCTTTAGATAAAATTAGAAGCTGGCACCATTTTTCAGCCTATGCTAGTAAAAATACATTGCATTGATCCTCTCTCCGTACTTTGGCATGCATGGGAGCGGAGAAAGAGTGGGAAGCTATTGAAACTGAGGCATAACAACATGTTCTGAAGTTGGACTTCTTCCGTGGCGATCAGCTGTGCAGCTCTTAAGGAGGCCTGGGAACAGAATAGATTTGGAATAGGAGTTCTGCGTGGCTTAGTGTGTAAGAGCAGCTTCATGGGCCTTATTTGTCCTTCAGAAATGGAAACTGTATTTACATCAGTTATCTGAGAAATCTGCTGACTTTTGTCTGGCACTTGTGTTTTCTTACTGTTGTGGTAAATTCAGAAAGTTGCAAGCAGCCTCTGTGCACATAGGGATGAAGAGACAATTTGCAGGTGTTCTCATCTTTGCTCAATTTTGTGATGCGAGGGAGAAGGCAGGAAAAAAATGTTTATTAATTGAATCCTAATCTTCTGTTGTTTTGCCTAGTATGCATTTTGTCTAATACAACTACGTAGCTCATCTAAAGGCCTGAAAATTGGAACTCCTAGCAAGAAGGATGTCTTTGATGTCATTACCATAAAAGTCATTGGTTGCCATTTGAAGGGAAGATAGCAACTGTATATGCTATTTAATTGAAACCTTATGGAGTAACATCTAGGACCTGGATCATGACTAGATGATCACTGCAAAAACAGCTGTTCCTCCTCCCAGCACTTGTGCCCAATGCTGTTTGTTACTAACCTTCTGCCAGACTTTGGCATTCCTCTAGCATAGCAACAGAATGATTTGTCTGAGCACTCTTGTGATTCAGTGCAAAGTCCAAAAAAATGGTTCAAACAATATTTTTGTGGTGCCTGACTTACTGCATAAGCAGATGACGTTCATTTGCACAGCCTACAGTGCCTGTTCTGCTTGAGGGTGCTAACAAACAGCTGGTAATAGAGAGAAGTAGGGTACAGAAGTTTTGGTAATAGTTGTCTGAACACAGTCCATTGATAAATCATTTAATTGTTAGGCAAAAGACTTCTGGATCCATCCATGGTAGTGGAAGACGCTTTTACATTCTGTTTCTCATTGCTACCTTCTTACCATGTTGGTCTGTTGAAAGAGCAGTCATGCAGGCATGCTTCTGGAGTTTTAAGCAAAATTAGCCAAATTGCACTAGTTGCAACATTTTAAACTTCAGCTGAAGTGATGTTGTGCCTTGCACAGATAAGGAAAAACTTGCATGAACTCCTCTGCCAACAGAGCAGTGAAGGCAATTAAGAGTTATTTCCTGGATGAGCTGAATTCAGAAGAGGCTTAAGAGTTGGTACAGGTGCAAATTTGCACCAGTGGTGGTGTACAAATGCAACTCTTTTCATGATACTCTGCTTTTATTTATAGTACTTTTTAGTAATTGAAACACATTCCTGATAAACAAAAACTTAAGTTGTAAGTTTAAACTGAGTGTCCATGTATTATTTTGTTCCTGTATATTTGTTTGTTTTGTGGGAAACAAAAATCAGTACATACTAAACTAAATCAGTAAGTACCACTTCATAAGTAATAAGCTAATGGAATTTGGTTTAAGTAGTAGGTTTATTTGTTTTTAAATAGAGTTTCTAGTTGGAGCGATCAAATAACAAGCCAAAAGTAGCAAATATTTATTCAACCTTACTGGGTTTTTTTGTAACTATTTGATAAGTTAGCAAATACCACAAAAATAGCTGTTGACTGAATTATTTGACTAAGACCCGTTAATTAAACTAACATTTTAAGTAAATGTTATTTATGTAGCCCTGATTCCTGGATCTTTTCTGTTGTCCCTGCTTCGCTTTCTTCATTTTATCTTTTTCTTTCCTACAGGAGAATATAGCATATACCTCTGCATCATTTTCAGTTCCTTTCTGTTTTCACCTCCTATGTCTTTCCTCTTCTCCCCACTCTTTTTCACCTCCACCCCTGCATCTTCTGTTTCTCCTTTCTTCTGCCACTTCTTGATTCTGTCTGTGTACTGAACTTCTCTTTTCAAATTCATCTTACCAGTGTCTCTCTGCCTCACATGACCATCACTCACCCACTCAAACCAGAGCATCTGTGCAGTCTTGGAAACATTCAGGTACTTAAAAGCTAGAGAGCTACTATATTGGCATGAATATAAGGCAGGAAAAAAAAAGTCCACGAAGCATATATGAGAATAGCCCCTGGTCTGGCTTTGCAACCTGTTTTGCATCAGCTCTGCACGCTCCCTGACAGTGCATTGTCTGCTTGCCAGACTTCTCTCTGCTCAAGCATTATGTATGAAGCTCCTTGTTACCTGGGACCTGGTCCAGTCCTGCTGCTTGTGCCAGCCAGGCTGCCTGACAGCTACCTGGCCTGCTGCAGGTGCTCCAGCTGCCTTTGGCCACCAGACACCATCCCTGGGGCTCTGGAAAGGGAAACACAGTCTTCTAAAACAAAGACTAGCTGTCTTTTCTATGTAGTTCCTGTAAAAATAAATAAACGTCTCTATATTTTACTTAGGCTACTGTGGTAAAAATTACTGGCTTTAGATTAATCAATACAAAACAAGTAGATTTTGCTCAGCATTGATTATCAATACTGTCTACCAAGTTGCTGGAAAAGGGACAGGTGTTAAAAATCCTGCCATGTTGTTGAAATATTTGAGCTTTTTTCCCACTTAATGAGTTTGAGGATTGTGCCACTGCTCCAAAACAAGTTCCTGTTTCAGACTTACTCTTTTTTCAGTTTTATTTTGTATAGGTCATAAAGGATTTCTGATGCAAGCTTCCTTAACTGTTTCTTTTTTTTTCCTATAGCTTTCCACTTACAAAAACTGTAAGTTGATTTATTACTTTTTTTTTTCCCCACAAACAGTGCCTTTGATGCAGCATGTAAGCTGTTTTTTAGGGCAATTGTATTTTGCATTGCAAGACATAAAATACAAACCTAAATTACTTTGTGTCATTCAGCTGACTCCATAAGGCTTCTATTGCAAACTCATGGATAGATGGATCATTTCACTTCTCTGAATAAGTTAGGTAATTGGAAAAGTTAATTTTATTTCAGATTTAAAAGCTAATGAATTATAAAAGTTTCTATTTATAAAATATGTGATGATTATTTGGAACAAGGCAATGCTGGTATGAATTAACAGACAATGTTAGGAGCTTATAAATAATTTTTTTTAGAAATTAGATGTTACTTTAACTAAACTGTAGAAGCTTGCATTTGGCAAAATGATCTGATGCCATAGCAACAGATGACAATTACACGCAGCTTCTGGAGTTGCCCACATTCCTTTTCCTGCACCCCAGCCTATCCATATCCGTGGTGCAAGAGATGAATTCTGACCTCTGTTTTCTAACCTTCTTTGAAAGAAACATACCCTCTTTCTTGCAAAGTAAGAAGCTCAAGTTCTAGATCACTTGAAAGAAAACCAAAAGTAAATCCATACAGTGGGCATGCTAACTCGCTTATGTACTGTTATTGGAAGATTAGTTTTGCCTCAAACTATATTTCAGATCAGGTTGACATAATATGGGAGTATATTTATGGATTATATTTTAATTTTAAATAATTTGCTGTATCTTTTTTTTTTTAGATTCAACAATAGATTGATGTAGTCAGTGAGTTTTTAACAATTTAAATGCTGTTTAAAAAAAACAATAACACTAAATGTATTAAGCCAAATACACCATCAAAACTGAAATATTCAGGTTGCAAATGAATGCATTTAGACAGCTGGAGAAACCACAGCGTACAGGTGTTTGTACTTCCAACTTGAGACATAATTCTAGGAAACAGGATACCTATTTTTGTTTTTAATTTGTAGCCAACTGTTGCTTTATTTGCCTGGTGTTGAGAGATTTTTATTTTTTTCCCCCACAATGTGCTTGTAGTCTTATGTATCATGCTTATTTTGTGGTACTTGTTATTATTGTATCAGAGAAACAAGTATACAAGAAAATTGTAGCAGTACAAATTCTGTTGTACCCTCCGTCTGCACTGACTCTACCAATGGAAATTTGTTTCTGAGTCCTCACCTTTTTATCATAGGTCTCAGGAGCTATTGTGGCAGTTCTAAATTAGGATTTTCATTGTTGCTGCTAATTCTGATATTGCTAGATTTTGTGTTTGCTGACCTTGGTGCTGTTGAGTGGCTTCAGTTCTACCTGCACAAAATGTGCTACATCCAACTTCTCTCTAAAAGTATAAGAACAAAAAGCATTTAACTCCTTAATAATTTAAGGACTAGTCTACTGGAACCATAAAATGTGAAATGTGCTGTGCGTGTTTTAACTTGTTAATTAAAGAAGCAATAATTGGAGTCTTAAAAGAATCAACTGAAATCTAACGTTATACACTTGTGCTATGTTGTAGTCTGGTACTTCCCAGCACTATTTGCTGAATTCTTCACATGCTTTTCCTCTAATCAGTCTGTAATTACCATGCTGTATAATTAGATTAATATACTTTCATTTCTTGCAGCGACCCGTTAGAGGAAAATTTTGTACTTCTGCTTTATGGTTGTCCTATATGAATGACTACAGAATTCTGTACTTTCATTAAAGTGGCCTCAACTTACTTAGGCAAAGAGCAATCAATTTAATGATGCATGGAAACTGTCATTCTCTATAAGTTTCTCTGGTGCTTAACTACTTTTTTTAACTACTTTTTTTTTTCTTTTTTTCTCTTCTTAGATGATGAGTTCCAATGGAAGGGGCCCTTCTACTTCATCCAAGGAGCAGATCCTCAGTTTGGACTGATGAAAGCTTGGGCAGTTGGAGACACTAACAATGGAGATGATGAATGGGGAGAAGAAATCAAATTAGCAGAGCAAGCAGTGCAGGCCATTAACAAACTAAACCCTAAACCCAAGTTCTTTGTGTTGTGTGGAGACCTTATCCATGGAATGCCAGGTAAGGCAATTAAAAGTGTAGAATGAGGATCATAACTCCATTTTCTTTATATTTCGGATTGGCAACAAGACTAATTTAATTTCCTTGACTTCACAATACTCTCTCATAGGATTTGATATGCTACTGTTTTGGTCTGTGGGTGAAAAAGTGTGCTTTGTAAATGATTCTTGAGACATCATTCTGATTTCTTCACCTGTCTTCCTGTATCATTCATTTTAGCAGTGTACTTTTGATAGTCAGTTGCTTTCTTTTCAGTGGGCCTGAGGAAATTTTCTTTGAAATAAAAGTCCTAAGAACACACGTTAAAATTCTTTCTTCTAAACAAATGGCTTTGAGAAGACAAATAAGAACAAGAAATAGCTATGGCTTTTTGAGTACCTGAAGTGGGTGAAGCTGAGAGAATTCTCTGGATTTCTAATGCTTAAGAAATTCAATTACTTCAATATTTAAATTCTCAAAATGCTAAATGTCAGCAAATTCAAGTTTTAGCATTCTGTCCTGTTGCTGTGGGACTCAGAGATCAGTGTGTTTCTGTGTACCATCAGAGGAAGAAAAGACCATCTAGAAAGGTGGGTACAAAGTTTTGACAGTTATAACTTCAAAACAGACTGGTAATATTTTCTATTTTATGAAGATAAATACTCTTCTTGGAAGTGAAAGAAAAAGTGGTGTTACCAGTTGACAAGTGGTCTGAAAAGCAGATCTAAGCACAGTGTCTTACATTTCTTAGCCTTGATAAGAATCAGAGCTGCAGACAGCCTTAGCTATGTAGCTAATAGCACAACAATCCACCAAGTGAGCTTGCAAATAGAGTCCTGTGTGCTTTATGCTACACTCTGCTTTGCACTTCGCTTGCACCTGAGGTGGTGCTTCGCAGCTTGTGTTTGCACAGCAAGGTTTTGACCATGTTAGAGACCTTTAGCTAATTCCTTCTGTGTCCCGCAAAGTGGATTTTAAGACCTTAGCTGTCAAATTGCAAGTCAAAGTGATTGACATTATATATAGACTACAGACTTTCTTTTGACCAGAACACAGTTCTAGTGATAGCGGGAAAGTGTAAAAACCAACAGATTTAAGCTTTATCGAATCCACTGTGTAACACCTCAGTAGCTTGATCATAATGTAAAGTCTGCTGTTAACCAGTTGTTTTATTGATTTATGTTCCTCCATTAATCTTGGAAGTACAGGTTTAACCCAGAATCATAAAATAATCTCTTCCTATAGCAGAGTTTTAGTAAGTATTTCCATTAGGACTTTTAATTTGTATAAGTGTTCCAAATATGCTATCTTCAGTACCCCTTGTAAGAGGAAGAAAACTCAGAAAATAGGTGTTATACATACTATTGAAAAAGATCTTTTACTCACAAATTTAAATAATCCAGGAAGCTAAGTTAATTTCATTTTACCTGGATATTTCTCAAAAGCTTATAAAACAATGCAAAGTTCTGAGTACTTTTGTCTACATTGACTTTAAACAATGTTATTTTAAGGCTTTTCTGTTGATAGAAAGTGCGAACTACGGAGAGCCAGCAGTCTTCTGACTTCCATTGGGAACTGAATGGCTAAATACAATAAATAAGTCTTGTGTGTGGCAGGTTTTATGTTTTGTTTTGTTTTTTCTAGTAATGAATCTCTGTAGTTATTATTGTCCCTGTTACCAGTGTATATCTCAGGCTTCAGTAATATTTTTAAATACAAACCTGTCAGGGTTTTGCAAAACATTACCATATATTCATTTTGCTAACAAATGTGTAAAAGAAACTGAATGGATTGTACTGCTGAGATCACTTGTATTGTGTGATGTATGTGCTGTGCTTTGTATAAATATTTGAAGCTGCCTAGTGCAATTTCCAAGAACTTGCAAGAAGGAGCAGTTCATTACTCAATGATCTTAAGGGTCTTTTCTAGCCTAAATGAATCTATGATTCCCTCACTTGAACCACCGTATTTTAATTCATCTAATAATTTCTTGTTGATTTAAATTATGTTAATACTTTGCAAGCCTGCGTTATCATGTAGTTAATATAAAGTAGTTAAGGAAATTTACTATTAAAAAGAATTTTAGAATATTCAACTGCAATAATTACTTATTTCATTACTGCCTTTGTACTTGTGTAAATGGCTTGCTGTGCTGCGAGTTGGTAAGCATATAAGTACAACTTAACAATTAAATTGTACGTATAAGTACAATTTTACAGTCAGCCATTTGTCTTTCTGTCTAAACTGATTAGAGAGATGAAAGTGCATTGCTCTACAGTGCAGATATCTGTGAATTAACACTTTTTTAACTAGTTGTCTAGAAGGGCAGGGAGACGTGATACAGCAAGGGAGACAGAAATGCAGAGTTGGAAAACTACTTCACAGAAGGTAAACCTACATCTGTGTGTTTAAAAGAATTTGAAACAACACTTTAGTTTAAACCATATGAATGTGTATTTTGGAAGTGAAATGATAGGTTTTTGTAAGTATTTTTTTCCTACCTTTTCCTCTTGCTTATTTAGCTTCTGGAATAGAAACTCCATGAAAACACAAAAAGAGTTAAAGAAAACTTAAAGAAAAGACATTTTAAAGCAAGAGATCTTACATCCTGTTTTTAAAATGTCTTATCAAGATATTTATTGACAATTTCTTTGGTTTGGCTTGTTAATAGCTGTTATTCTATGAGACACTGCATTCAGTGTTAAACTCTAGGGTTTGAGGTGACTTCCTTCTCGTGAGAAAATGGATTCTTAAATTTCTTCTCTTACACGGGTATGTGTTTGAACCACTAGTATATTTCTGCACCAGTTATGACTCAGATAAAAAGCAGGAGCCATTATATTCCACATCATATGGCACAAGTCTCTCTCCACTAATTCCAGTACTAATACTGTGCTTGAGATTTCATGGTTCTTTACATAATCCATTTAAACAATCCTAACTTAAAGTGAAGACACAATGAGATAAAAAGCTGTCAGCAACTGATTAAACTCAAAAAAAAATTTAGAAAGAGTTCCATTTCAAAATTATAAGAGTAATATTGAAATTTACCTGCACCTTCATTATTTCTTACAACAAAAATTTGAAATTGTAAGAAGTCTTTTGGCAATATTATATTAATGAAAAAGACCAAATAGAAAATCTAAGAATAGGTTTTCAGATAATTTGAACATATAAATCTTTGCAGAATTGAAGACCAGTAGTAATATTTCTTTTCTTGGAGTAATTGAAGTATTTTCACTGTTGTAGCCAAGGATGTTTAGACCTACGTAATGCATGTCTGTAGTAGAACAGTACTGCAGTCATTTCGTACTTCTCTACTGAGAAGTCTCTCCAAGAATAATTGCTGTGTCAATTCCCTTATGTTAGTTCAATAAAATGAAGGATTAAAAATTCATTTTTTTCAGTAGGCAAAAATCAGAAATGACATGAGACAAGACATTGATTTGTTTAACAATTGTGAATTTGGCTTGTACATTTATCTTATTTAATGTCTTAAATTGCCTTTTAAATTAAAACTGAAAACATCAGCATTAATAAAAGTGTATCACTGCTACTATTGTAGCATGGTTGTTGAAGGAAGCTATGATCAACTGAAGTTCAGCTATATTTTACAATCCATTGGCCAATGTCTATCAAATTCTTTGGATTATACTGCTTTATAATGCCTGTCAATAAAAAGGGGGAGAGGGGGAAACCCAGATCTTCCTCTCTTCTCTTAGTACGTTTTATCGTGGAGTACTAAGTGTAAAATATATGATGGCTGTTTTAAAGCATGCACTGTAGCTGTTTGGCTGAAGCAATGTTGAAGCCTTTTGCAAAGGAACTCCAAGAAATCTTAGAATTCCAGCAGCTAGAAGTGATGAACAGAATCCTGATCAGCTGGGAAGCAATCAGGCACAGCACTTGGAATCCATTACAGATGTCATTAGAGCAACGAAGTAATCAGTATCTTGGTATTTAGCTGCTGATTAAAAGTAGTTTGTTCTCTGAATATTATTTTCAGAAGTTTTGCTTGATTACATAATCAAGAATAGGATATCTATTCCTGGTAACGCTAATAGTGTGGTACATAATCAAGAATTTTAAGCAATACATTATAGTGCAACTGTGTTACTGAAAATAATTTCTATAAACTCGATACTTACACCTAGATACACCACAATAATGTAAGACTTCTGAAAACGTTTGTGTGCATTGTTAGTGTACCATAATTTAGTATGGCAAAAATGATAATCTGCAAAATGCAAAATATTGTTGATTGGATAATGTGTTTGTTTCACTGCATTTCTCTCAAACTCTGGAAATTTATTTCTAAAAGTCTTTTTTTCTCATATCAAGTTGGAACCTTCTGTGGTTTTTAATGACAACTTCCCATATTGTTCCACTAACCAATACTCTTTAAGCCCAACAGTCCAGCTAGTTTTTCACCCATCTAGTTCTTTACTCATCCAGACTACTACATCCTAACCCCACAAATAGAGGGGTGCCTCACAGTGACATCAGCCAACTCTCTCAGTACTCTTGGATGCATCCCATCAGGTCCCATGGACTTGGCTGAATCCTGTTCCACTACTCGTATTTCCTCTACTCCTTTAGCTCTGGGAGAACATTTCAGTGAAGATAGGCAAAAGAAGCCCTCGGTACCTGTCACTTGTCACTGCCGCATGTGGCAGTGGGCCTGTGTTTTCTGTATTGTTTTATTGCTAAGGTAGTAGTAGAAGTTTTTGCTGCCTGTCATGCCACTTGCTAGTTTTAGCCCTCAGTGAGTTTTGGTTTTTCCAAATATTTTCAGTATTCTTCCTTTCAAGTCCATCTTTGCTTCCACCTCCCTTTTACGTCCTTTTTCCGTTGTTACTCAGGCATGAGTTCCTCATTTAGCCAAGTCATTCTCCCAATAGTCTACTTCTTTTTTTTCCCACCCTCCACCCCGTATCAGGAAGGACCATTAGGATCCTATATACCAGTTCCCTGAACAAGCCAGTCTGCTGTCCCGAGGCCCCAGATCTGCTATCTGCCTC